CTAACGAGTTGCAATAGAACTAAGGACGTTTTTCTCGAAACTCGATTAGTACTACAAAAATCGAATATAATCAATATTTCTATGTCTTTAATACAGAAGTCAAATTATAATTTTGACATATTTCCATCTCTATAAATTCAAATAGCCAGAGAATGAATACACTTAAAACCACAGTTATACAAATATTTGACCGATTATATATTCAAGTACAACTACTCCAAAAGTCAACAAAATAAATAAACTTCTATACTAAAGTTACGGAAATTTTCAGCTACCTATGCCATCAAGTCTACCCCGCTCAATAGTCAAACCGACAAAAATACTATGATATACACATATAACTATATTAGTGTAGAAATTTACTTATTTTTTTGTTTTAAGTATCTCAGAAGGTAGACTTCGAAATATCGATGAGTGAATATTTCTATATTTTTAGTATAGACGTTTATTCACTGTTTTGCCTATCTCAGTAGATAGACTTCAAAGTATGGCTATGTGAATATTTCTATATTTTTAGTATAGAAGATTTTTCCTTTGTTTTGACTATCTCACGAGATAGACTTCGAGCAATAAATAGGTGAAGATTTCTATATCTTAATTTTAATAAAGACACCTCCGTATACAACTAGTTTAATGCAAAAATGCGACAAAATACGAACTAATCGTACTATAAGAACGTGTTTGATCATATATGATCATGTTGTTGGATCTTATACGTAACTTATAGTCATTCTTGATGTAAGATTGCATGAACCGCATTTTTCGTACAGTTTTGCGTATGATCTTCTCTGACCATATCTGATCTTACTCTAATATCTTATATGATCGGTCAAGAATGTATATGTATCTTAATATCTGATATATCGACCTGGGAATTCATTTTTTTGATGTCTGAATAACTCTGGACAATCGATCAGCAGATAAGCTGCTATTATCTTTTGTTAGAAAGTAACAGGCAGTGGATTTGTGTAAGAACTTGTCCGTATCGTTAATTTTGATCTTAAAATATGGTATCTCTTGGTCAACCGATACGATTTCTTTGATATTTAAAGCGTGGAAATTCGTTTTAATTATTTTCAGCTGTTTCTCGTCAATATCATCGTCGTCATGCTCTCCTTCCAATGGGAAAGAGCTGATTATTGATTAGGGTTGATTAAGGGGGATTAGGAGTGATTAGGGATGATTAGGAGTGATTATCGGACTGCTAATCAGCTGTTTTCCCCTTGGCCACACCCCACTCACGCCACTCACATCCACATCCACACCCACAAAAGCTTTTATGTGCATTTCATTACTTTTTCGAAATATTAACGATAGGTTTGCTCCAATATCTAAAAAAGCGTGTACAGCCAACCATGCCCATGCCTGCTGTATTGATTCCATGACAGATGCTCCCGCGACAGTTGCTTTCGGGACACTTGCTCCCCAGAGACAGCTGCTCCCCGGACAGTTGCTCCCGCGACACTTGATCCCCGGACACTTGCTCCCGCGACAGTTGCTCGCCAGCGACAACTGCTCCTCGGGCACTCGCATTCGCGGCACGGGTATGGGTGTGAGTGGGGAAAGAAGTGATGGACATTTACAGCCACCGCATCTCTCACACCTATATCTATAGTCGCACCAACATTCACATCCGCACCAACACACTCCTACCCACACTCACATTTGCACCAAAACCTACCCATATTCACACTCGCATTCGCATCCACCACTCCCCCCTCCCTGCAGTCATACTCGCACCAACACCCACAGTTACACCCACATCCACACCCATCCACGGTCACACTCACACCCACACCTGCACTCACAATCACACTCGCACCCACATTGGCATCCACACTCATATCCATAACCCTGTCGCGGAAGCATCTGTCTGGGGAACAACAGTCGTGTTACCTACTGTATTATAATTCAGGAATCTGTTACTGAATTGTTGACTACATGTTTTTTAAATGCTTTTTTGATTGCACAATTCAATGTTTGTTTTCAATCTATATCATTATCTAAGTACAGATTGAATATTTTGAGGACCAAAGCATTATAAAATGAAAGTTCTTCCTTTGCACAATATTTTGAGTAGTCTTTACCTGAACGTAGAAGATCTAAAGCCTGAAATTTCTTTACTTTCTATTAGGTCTGGAGCTTTTATCGATCTCTCCAAAGATCCAGCTTAGAGGCGGTTGATTACTCTCGAGTCTTCTTCATAATTATTAGATCTCACTGTTATATTCTTCTAATAGGATATAATTAGGGTCAGCCCCAGTGTGGATTATTCCGCGGGCAAGATGGCTTGTTTCTCGAAGCTAATCTGCCATGTCACTAATGACAGAGACTCAACTAACTTTTTTATTACGATAGAAAAAGCAAATATGAGCAACAACATTGATGATTACAACATAAAAATCTATACATTGAGTCATGCATCCTGACAGACAGTCTTGAATACTAGTAAGTCAAACAATAGAAGTCATTCTACTGGTATGACACGCAATCGGTTTCTTATTTTTGCAATCATTGCAACAAAATGAGGGACGAAAAACCGCAATCCACCAGACAAAGCGCTGAATATACTCAAAAAGATTGTTAAAATTTCTAGAGCATCAAATCGATAATGATATGTATAGGTGCATTGTTTTGGTGTGCAAGCGCCGAAGAACATCTCGTAGGATGTGTCGTTAATCCACGTTTCAATAAACATATTGTAAGCTAATGTCTCAATCGTATCATTAACAGTAAAGCGTGTCGATGCAGGATCCAAACTTACAGGAATATCGAACAAAGCGGCCCATTCTTCCATCGTCATTTCTGTGTTAAGATTCATTACATTTCGAATTTCATCAATGCATGATACAGAATAGAAACAGGATAGTGAAGAGCGCAAAATTGTTTCAAGTATAAAACAGCTGCGCACCAAACCCGTAAATGAATAGTATGATGTAGTGTTGTAAAAAAGTTGTGCTGATACTGCGCAAGATCGTGCTGTACTGCAAGAGCAAGTCGTGTTCTGGTCGGTTGTTTCAAAACTGACAGGCATATTAAAAAATGAAGCATTCTCGCCTATGCTATTGTCAGCCATGACTACTTTCCAATTAGAAGAAAAGAAGCTTAATAATGCATTACTTTGTATTATTGTGCGAATTAGATCTAATGTTCGAACAAATGCGACTGAAGTGGATGTTTTGAGTCGATTGAGAGTCGCATCAATTTCGTTTTTAAACTGTGTTCGTGGTATTACTTGATACACTATCATATTTGATACAATAAATGTTTCAATCGTATGAGCCACACTGCGTTGTGCAGTCTGACAGAGTTCTTTGAGACCACCGGTAAAGTACCGCTTCCATGAGTTGAAGTCTATTGGATCTCCCAAAGTTAATCCTTTTAGGATATCTCCGGTGACTCCAAGATCAATTGAAATTATTTCAGTTTCGCATGCTTGGTGAAAAGCGCCGATTTCAAGTCGATTAACAAATGTACCGTAAGGAATCGATATCTGCGTACACGGACAATCTATGTCATTTGAATTCAGATCGAGTAAATGCTCATAATCTTCAATCGTTGGGTACAAATATGTTTTGGTTACGATGCGACCCGTAATCGATGAATAAAATAGAATGATACTGAGTGAACCGATGAGCAAGACGAGATATACTCGAGTGATTAACCGCTGCTGACGAATACTAGCAGTATCAGCCGTGTTGGATTCGAAAAGATTCAAGGTTTGAATTGATTGAATTATTTTTACCAGCATATTATGATCCTGTAAACTCTCGGTAGGTGCTATTCAAAAATGAAAGGCATCTTTTTGAATAAGCTCACAAACCAAACCCAAGATTATAGCAGTCAGAAAAACTATAGGCTGTTTTGATTTTAATCATTCACGTCTTCACACTTTCGCTTTAGAATAATTTTCAAATTCCTTCAGTGCCGAAAGAGATCTGTTTAAAAATGATCATCGTGTCATAACAACTAGGGTGGCATTTTCAGTTTCATTTCTAAAAAGAAACGAAATTGTACAGTGAGGTGAATAAAAAATTTGATAAGCTTTCTCCTCTATATTGTATATTTTGCCAAGCGACGTCCAAAGAGAGATGATTGATATGATCAGATTATACTCTTATTGTTTCAATATCTATTTCCATTGTTCTTTTCATTTCTAACTCTCCAAATTATGTTGTACTTTCATTTATTCTGCTTGATTCGACATCTAAAACTTACTAGCAAATACTAGATTAGCAAACTAACTTCAAAGTATTAACCTTTTCTGAACTAAAAACCTGACTTTCATAGAAGAAAACTAGTTTATACTAGGTTTTGACAAGTCAAAAGTGAGGCATCTAACGGGTAAACCCGTTTTATTTTACTCATCAAGATCGCCTCGACACTATCATTTGAGTGATTGAAAATGAGGAGTAAAATGAACCCAATGCCGAGCCTTTGACCTATTGGGCAGACAGAAACCGAGCTCCAACGTAGAATTTCGATGTTCGTTGGAAGCTGAATCAACTGGTTGAAATGTCTATCGGACGGCTACTTAGATGCTGATTGAAAAGGTGGTTTTTCAAAGGATTTTAACAGAAATCGATAAGTTTATCTCTTACTTTTTCAATTTCGTATAGATTGATAGCACATTTTACTTTCAAAAATGACACGACACAACCTTACGTGCATCACGATTTTCTCGTATAATGGTTTTCTTTTGATAATAAGAGCGATACGATAGCTAGACTGAGCGTGTGGATATGAGTATGCGTGTGAGATATAGTTTCAAGTGTTAATGAAAGACTGATATCGACACCCGCACTTACACGCACACGATGATTATTTTTATTTTCACTTTCGTAATTTTAATATCTTATTCCTTCTTTATTTTTCCTTTGTTCACCTCGCATTGTGACGGTGTGTCACATTATAGTCCCAATCGAAAGTATTCTCGCAAACGTTTTTCCGACGACTTTGCTATCGGATTGAAAAATAAATTATTTAGTTACAGAAATGGATTATTTTTGCACAATACACTCACCACGAACGGTTTTCCGATTTCTCCATTTTCCGATAATAACCAGAACAAGCTTTCCAATCAATGGTACAACTAATCGAAGGCCTTGATTGAGCCCACTACAAACTGAAACAAGTAATAAAATGGCTACAATGATAGTTCGACGTTTGAATATTGTATATGAACAGCTGAGAGGTGCACATTGTTGGTAGTACAGACCATAACGATTATCGCTGATGACTGATGTTTCCAAAAACGCTTGATTAATTAAATCTAATGTATTGCCATCGAATCGAGTAGGAATCGATGTATTTAGTGGCTTGATATCTGGTGGAAACTCCGAGATGATCATACTAGCATATGTTGCTCGTATATTTTCAATATAAACCTTATTATACCACCAGTCGGTACCAGAGCTGAAGAATCCAACCAATGGTGTGCAACCCACAAATACTTCATAAAAAATGTCCAGAAATTCGAAGAAGTTCGATCCATTCGTATACAGGATAGGTCTCAAAAGGCAAATATTAGAATTAATTGTGCATGAGCATAATGCAGTTAATATTACGCCTTCGGGAGTTATATCTGCCAATTGGCAAAGCAATACATCCTCAATATTCACGTTGCTGTCATTGTCCACTGTAATTTGGAAATTAACATTTGATCCTGATAAAAACTGATTTATAGTACCAGCAATATTAATCCAATTTAAAATAGGCACAAAGCTATTGCGTGTTCCATTGATGAATTCTTCAGCCACCGCTTGAGTTTGTTGAACAAACAGAGATTGAGGACGAAGATGATTGCTAACGAATGGTGTATTGATGAAAAAACGTTGACTATCTTCAATATTGATTTTAGCCAAAGAGCAAAACGTAGCCAAAAGTTGAAAATACGACACACCTGTAGGACGAAAATCTCGTGAATACGGTGTTTCAGTCCAAGGACGTATTAGAGTTGGATCAAACAAAGACAAATAATTTAGCCACATTGGTGAAACTATATCGCTCGAACACACTTGGTGTAACACGAATGATACATTTAGAAATGCTCCATAGGGTACAGATAAATGTGTGCAAGGACATTGTATGGTATTTGGATGATCATTGAATAGTTTTTCGTAGGTTTCTAGAGATGGATACATGATAGTAACAATTTGATCGTCGTTGAATATAAATATGTAAAAGCCAACGGTGATCGAGCAGATGATGAATAATAAAATAAAGAGTCGCGTGAAGAAATACTCACGTGTTATATTAGTATGTGTTCGAATTTTCTTACTTTCGAAAAGATTTAACTTCTTCAGTTGCTGATAAACGAAATTTGCTAGACGTTGAAGACGATCGAAGGCTGTTATTGCTAAGAAGATTTTAGATTTAATGGAATACAAAAATTTTCTATAAACTGCATATTAAAACCCAGACAACCAAACAAAATAACCAATTAACCTCAAGATAAAAGTGTGGGTGTAGATTTGAGTGTGAAAAACGAAGAGAAGACTCAGTCACCTCACACTCCCCAATTCCTTTTCTCGACTTCTCTGAGAGTCAAATCAGAATACCCCCCCCCCTCATAATAAAAGACCCCCCATATTAGAAGACCCTCCGTTTTAGAAGACCCCTCCGGAGGAGTCACTTCATAGAAATTTCTTTTTTGCACCAGCAAAAATTTACAAATTTACAAAAGTTCGCTGGACCATAATAGAAGACCCGGGGTCTTTTATTGTAGGGGGGTTAGCTTTTTCATATGGACCACTTTAAAGCTTGAAAGATTAATGTTTTCTGAACAATCTTACAAAATCAGATTTGCATTTGAGAAACACCACGAGAATATCGCAATTGCTGTGTGGAATAGACTTCCACTATCAGGATTCGAGTTACATGAATTTTGTTTTCACTTACGCCGACGTGAAAGAGTCGCATCATTCTGTGAACTGCTGTTATTTGAAGTGATTTTGGTTTTCCAGCGAAAAATTCCGTTTACAACAAATGGTACCATCAGACTCAAGATAGAAGAGAGAGCACCAAAAGTTCCAAGAATTGTAGTAATAATGAAGAGACGTGAAAAGCGATGAGTGTATGAGAAAGTACAATAAGCAGGTTTACATTGTTTGTAAAATGAATCAAACATTATCTCACTATTCAATTTATCAATCATTAAATCATTGAGAAGTATTTGAATAGTAGAATTTACCAGAAAATGATTGTTGAAATCATTGGAAAGTAGACTTCCCGTTTCTATCGATGAGTTATGTAGAAAACGGAAACATTCTAGATCGTAATAACATTCTAGTGTAGAACCCAACGTTGAATCAACAATATAGCAATCAATTATCATTCCTGGAACTACTATTAATTGATCTTGACTGTCTCTGATAACAGCTGGACGTGGACATCCAGTAATAGACAAACACGAGCAATTTTCGGATACCACTGGTAACATTTTTGGGCGATACCAATCTCCAAAATTTGATGGTGGATAATGAAGATAAAAGTTGGTTCCCAAAGCTGATACAAATTGATTTCCAGACATAATCCGTCGAATAACAAGTAAAATCTGAGCAAATGTTGCTTGGGCTGAAGAAATATGATTATTAAGATCTCCTTGAGCTTGACGATGAAGAACTTCTTCAGTAACTGCCATCGGACTAAGAATGCGCGATGCACCAAAACTTGTGGCAGCATCAGTCCACGTGCTCTTGCTCACAACACAAAAGCCTGCGATTGCTTGCCAGAAAAAGCTTAGATAAAATCGAATGTCAGATTCAGTTGACGATGAAGTTTTGTTTTCGACGAAGATTGAATCAATCCATTCTTCTGTGATAAATTTACTTGAACATACTTGATGAAAATCGACGTGAACTTTCACAAATGATCCGTAGGTGATTCCAATTTGAGAACATCGGCATTGAAGAGTATTGGGATATTTTTTTGCCAAATATACGAACATGGCCTGTGAAGGTGAATAATCAATACCATTCTCTGTTCGAATAATGAATGCGGAAACAACTCCGATTATGAGAAGGAAACCAATCAGTAATGGAATGTAAATGCGTGTTGCAAGTTGTTCTCTTGGAGCAGTCTGTGCATCACTTGAGTTTGTTTCGAATAGGTTCAAATGAAGAAAAGACTTCCACAAGAAATTCAATGGATTCCACAACATCAATGCTCTGTTTTTATTTGACAACTAGAAGTTTTCAATGAAAATATATTGGAAAGCGGAAAGCTAATCATTTTTGCTACACTCACAAAACATCTGGAAGATAGCAACGAGCCAACAATCTTCAGCTCTAGTTTTAATGAGAATATAGAAATGGAAAGAAAATATGAATATAATTTGCGATAGTGAATAACAGTTTTGGATGCGTGCATAGTTAATGAAGAATTCGAAGAATGAGAAATATTTGAATTACTTTCATAATTGTATATAATGGCACTGCTTGGAAGATAAACTTTTGTGGACGATTAGAATGAATACAATCAACGTAATCTGAAAAAGTATGGCATGTTTCACTCTTTGACGATTTAAATAAGTCAGAAACCTGAATATGTCTGCTAGAGCAAGACTTAGTCTAATAAAATTTTATTATGTTCTCTTAGCTTAGGAGCATATTCATCTTCCTATAAATGTGCTCTTGCCTAGATTCTCCCCCTCTCTCTCTCCGACATGAATTGAGGAGAAACTCAAAAATCATTTACGAGATAAGAGTTTTTTAGCATTGAGAGTTATGTTTAATGTCAAGTTTGTTGTTTGAAGTTTCTCGATTGTCGTTGACCATTACTGTTGCTCTATAAACAAGATGACAATCATGTAAAATGTATTACAGCATCGCATGAAAAGCTAATCAGGATTTCTGTGCTTTATTACCCCATTGTTATCTATTGTTGAAAAGAAGACTACATGCAATTAAAGATTGCTTATCAGTTTCTTGCATTCATGATTAGTTCATCAGACAAATATATTATAAAAATTAATGTTTTATTTTATCTGCTTTCCATATCATATTTTGCTTTCTAATAATATAAATTGACATGAAAGTGGGTTCATAAAATATGAATGGTATAGCCTGATGAAGTTTAAGTCAACACAGTAGTTCGGTTTCTGTTTCTTCATATAAAGAGTATTCGACATTGGTAAAATATTTTTGATTCGCTAAAGAAAAAAGATGCATTCTCAATTTTTTCAAGAAAAAGAATTGAAATTAAAAGAAAATTAGGCTGAAAGCTTGTGAAAAGTTTGTATATATTGTCTGCTAAGCAAATGTCGATTGAATCGGTTGTTTATCATAATTGGTTGCAGCTCTACCAGATGGCATCCGTCTTTCTCACTTCACCGTTTGTTCTTTTACTGCTTACAGCTACTATTTTGAAGTTTAGCATAAAGGCACACAGTTACATCGAGAGATATTGCTATATCTAACCATTGAATTTGAATAAGGTATCATAACTATATTTAACTTTTAATATTAATGTATAATACAGAATTCTCCAAAGAAATCGTCATAGCTGTTATTTACTCAAGAACTGACTTTCAATCGTTTTTCTGTAGAAAAGATCATATAATTTTTAAAAAAACGGGCTTGATTCGCTTGTCCTATAAATTATCTTTGGCTTCTATTCCAATTGTGATATCTTCTTAAATTTTTACGTAGGAGACAGTGGAAGCAAGGAAAGATTATGGATTGTTAGTATGCGAATCGACGTAAATGAAAATCACTTCTTTCTTTCTACATGAAAGGGACGACATGATAATGACGGCGTGAAAAGGTCCATGATTTGTTTTATAAGCAATCACTCACATATAGAACTTTAAACTCCAACAGCTATGCAAAAGGTTCAAAGAAGCGATATCAGGCATCGTACTATCCTTGAAACTTGCACTGCGGAGAAGAGGAGAGTGACAAAGGCAGCAGCATACTTTTGTTTGAGATTATGTCTATTAAAAGTCATCACTGATTTAGATCATACTAAATTGCTCACTTAAAGAAATCGAGAGTCAACTGCTCGCTTTTGATCGATAGGTGCATTTGCCATCGAATTCTTTTACGTTAGGAATTTTTGTGAGTCAACTTGCTCTTCTCGAACCATGTCAAAAATGGAGTCATCATGTACTAAGTAAAATAAATCAGGCTTTTGAAACACTTTCTATGGGTGTGGGTGTGTAAACCTGTATGATATTAGGTATTTCGATGGTGATGAAACTATCTTATCAATTGACATAAGATATTAGAATAGAAGATCGACATTTTTTTGCAAATTGGTATATTGTAACAAACGCAATTGATAACATTACACGATTCATTTTAATCTTGCTTAATGGTTTTTCTCAGGTATGTTTACAATATATTGTCACATATAAATCCAAAACTCTTGAAATACACGAAGAAGCTAAGGAAAACTCGTAATAATTCAAATATAATATATCAAATTATAGTTTCATTGACTATGTAAATATGGATGTAGGGTGTGAATTTGAGTAAAGAGAAGACTCCGTCCACACCTCTCTATTGTATGAAGAGTATATAGTATAGGCTGAATTACTTGAAGAGTTTATTTTATTTTGTATGGAACTGTTTTGGAAGCAACTAAATCTTCATTTTGTTCAATGTCTCCATACCAACGGAAGCACAATCGTTCCTATCTATAATATATGTTGTAACAATATCGATTTTCTTATGTTAAATTTTATGTCAAATCGACAAGTTTGTGCATGGGCACACTTTTTATTCCACATTTATGGTTTATTTTGGATAAACATTTGGCAATGGTAGTTGAAGTACCCGTTTAGCACCAAATAATGGAAAAAAAATTTCGAAGAATGCAGGACCGACACATGTAAATAGTGCAATATAGAGCGGCACTTTATAAAGAAATATGTGTGTCATCATGATTCCAAATGGTTTTAATAAAGTAATACAACAAAGAGTTTCTGAGCGCCTAGCTATGCTTTATTAAAAGAGAAATGTGTATGCCGACACCGAAGATGAAGCATCGAATACGGTAATAGAAGAGTAGATACAAAAGCCGACTCCTTGAGTAGTGAGACTACAAGTTGATTGCGACGGCAATCCCAAAGAATGGAACATTATTATATAATAAGAGTGTATCTTTGTCGCGTATGACGAGGGTGTGGATGCGGGTAGACGTTTGAAAGTTGAATACAAGTGCCTCGACACCCGCAACCAACCTCGAGAATGATGAATTTTTCGTGTATCTGGTACTACTGACCAACTTATCAATATTTCACTTTTTCATGATGAGTATATGTACCTAAGTTATGTTCACAGTAAATTTTAAAGACAAAGGGATGTTTATTTGTTGAGACATAAATGTCCTAAAGAAGCACAAAACTATACTTTTGTGACGAGAGTGTCTTCAGAAAAATTTCAATGTCTTGGAAACGGAACAATTTTTTTCCAGACGGCTTGCATCAAAATTCCTAACACTATTTTTTCTACCACATATCTTAAATTGAACAAAACCTGATAGCCTCGATTGAACAAATTGGATCGTGGTTTACGTGGACTGGCTGATAAGTGTAATAGTACACTAATATTGTTAACAGTAATAAGTGTATATGTCGACTCAGAAAGCCTGAAAAACCAAAATATTCTAAGATATTTAATAACTCCTTGAGTGCTATATTTTGGGTCTATACTGGGCTCAAAAGAGAATTAACACCTGGATATGTTCTCTGGTGAGTGGAATTAACAACACCATTTCGACTACAATAAAAAAATTCTAGTTCATCTCAGAACGCTCCTCAGACCTTGAATGAGTAGAATATGTTCGTCGATGTTTATACTAGTGTGATTCTTGTGCACATAATCATGTTTATTGAAGATATCAATGATGATGATTAATTATGACTCTAGAAATCAGTCATTCTTTCAAAACAGCTAATAGCTGGATAAAGATTTTTCGCTTCAAGTATTATGTATTAGCATATTGCAGTCAACAAACCACGTATGAGTTTCACATTTTAGCCTTACAACGACTGTTCTGACAAGTTTGTCCAATTATCATTTTCAAAATAAGTTTTTAAAATTAGAAGTCATTTTAGAAATAGCGTATCAAATTAAAGAAAGTTTTCATAAAATTACGAAATAAATTCGTGTGATTAGGTTTTTTTACGTAAATCATTATGAAAATTAGAAACTTCTAAAATAAATGTCAATCTATACGGCATGAGCAATATTGGTTACTTCTGAGCTTGCCTGGGTGGATATTATGATATTTCTGAAACTTTTTCATTAGCTAAATAAAAAATTAATCAACTAAATAACAAAAAAAAAGTCGAATCATAATTTAAATCATCGTCAAAAAGAAATTGACTGTTCGAATCTATCGAATTTTTTTTATATTGGTTCTTGTTCTCAAAATGGTGCGAACATAAAATCATTAAATATGTTGTTGCAGATGATAGTCTTGTTTTATTCCGATATCGAATAACTTTTTCAATCGATATTTTGTTTAAAAACTTTTTTTTAATTTCCTTTAGATAAAACGTTTACAAACAACTTGAAAAATGAAAATAAAAGCAAGAAAAAAGAATTCTCTTTATTTGAATATCAATCGATGAAAAAACAAAATATTGTATTTGAAATATATGGAATAAAATAACGCTTTTTTAGGTTGAAAATATGTCGATTTTTTAATAGAAACAATAGAAACAGAATTTTTCGCTAAAGCATTGGCACGATCATACATAATGAAATGATTAAAAAGAGGAAATATAAATTTGCTTTGATTGGAATACATTAAAATGCTTGTAATGCCAATGAAGTTAATGATTTAAGAAAATCTCTTTTTTTTGTAATTTTCTATTTTATTTCAAATAAATGACAAAGTTAGTTTAAGTTTCAATATAAACAATTGAAAATTGCTCTGACAGATATTGTTTGTTTTTTCTTGTATGCTAAATGACCTGGTTTGAAACTATTTCTAAATGATATACGCCCAATTCTCTCATTTCTGCTTTATTTGTCAAGTTACAAAATATTAAAAAATCAGTCATGACATGGACTTTTCGGAATAAAATTTTTCGAAAAACATCTTTTTCTTTTACGATGGTGGCGATGGCGTGATGTCATGAATAAATCCTAATCAATACTCGATAAATAAATGATTCTGTTGCAAAAATAAATTCTTAAAAACTAGGTGCTGGTTACCTCTAACCGATATTTTGAGTGAAAACTATTATTGGCCAAAGTATTACAAGAGATTGTTCAAAAGTTGTCAAAATTTTGGTTTCTGAGTAATTTTTTATGCTCTTTCAAACTAGCAAAGTCATGTATAAAACTAAAATTTTTCGGTAAACTGCTTGAATGATCGTCTTGTGGGCACTGTCTTAAAATCACTATGAGAATTTGAGTTTGATACTGAATGCATTAAACCAAAAATATGTTGTTATTAAACTTCTTTCCGATTCATTTACAAATGAGCTAAAGTCAACGCTTGGATGAAAGTAAACATCGTCATTTAATTACATTTGATAGAATAGTATAATTATATATTCTTCTAAAAGAATCATTGATTGTACAACAATAAAATAAAATTTTTTATATATCTAATAGGTGAATAAAAAATGAAGATAGCAGTATTTATATTACTAGAGATTGAATTCGTCTTCCCAATCTTTGCGTCGATAAGACATCATGCCCTTTGTCTTTCCTAAGGACTTTTTACCACGGCCACGAAATACTATCACTCCACCATGTCGAAGACAACCTTTACAGGGTGTGTCATGATTCTTGTGTAATTGCCGTTGTAGAGGATATTCATAATCTTTAAACGATAAATCAATCCATGCAGTGACTTTCTCTTCTTCTTCTAGTCGAACGTTACTTCGTTTTCTATTAATTGTTTGGTAGTGTCGTGCTCGATCGAAATCTTCAAAGTCTCCACCAGGAAATCCGACGTGATAAAATGGACTATTTTTGCGATTGGAGCGCATATCCATAGGTATCATTTTCCGAATAGGCGGTTGATTCTCTTCATCATCAAGTAATTCCCATCGTTTTGACTTTGATAGAGAAAAAGGAATTCTACTGTTCTTGTCAATGAGGAAATCTCCTCGATGAGCCTTATGTTCGAATTCATTGCGTCGTACAGTTGCATTTGTTCTTAGTCCTTGCCGTTTGCCCTGTCGTTGTGGCATGATGAAACTATCGAAAAAATGCTACTCTAAAAAAAACAGGAAACTTTCTTTTTTGAAAAATCAGCAAATACTTTTCAATTCACATAATTCAATGTTAATATTTTGTCTTGCTGAAGTGAAAAGGTTTCTCTGGGATAGGATAGAAAAAAAGTAAATAAAATTGAAATCGACATGTTTCTCGTTATTATAAAAAACATTTGTATCGATCGAAAAAAAGGGTTAGAAAAAAGTTCTATTTAAAAAACGGGATTTAAGACAAAACTACTCTAAAAATGTGTTTTTCTTCTTGTGACTGAAAAGATTGATCTCTACATAGTAACTATAGTATTTATAGACTCAGGCATTTCATAGTAATTGCATCACACATGTGTTGCGAAGGAGAACAAAAACTGTCATGTAATGTTATAATTCAAGGAGTCATTCTTAGAAGCATCTAGTTGATTACTAATATTTCTATTCTATTCTTGAAATTGTATTCATCTTACAAGAGAGGATCTTCGTTTTCAATCGGTTAGGGTGCAAATAATTGTTCAATTGTTCTTCATGATTGATTGGATCAGGTAATGTAGGATTTTCACTGTAATAATATATATGAAATTCATTTCCAAGATTAGTCGTTTTCAAAAAAATATTGCCTCTTCCTTTTCTCCAAGAACAAGATGTTCATTCATCTGTATAATTAAATTTTATTCAATAAAAAGAAGATTGATTACATGAAATAAAAGAAATTGATACAGGTGCATGACGATCATTGTGTATCGAATTGAAGAATAACGACGGTAGCAATTGATATTGTTCACAAAAATTAGATGAAAATGAAGAAGGAACATGCATTACTTTTAGCCTTATGATGTATGTTTCCACGTTTTTATGTTTCATCGTCAAGCGCCGCATTGACCCATGGAGGTGGTACTGATCCTTTAATCATATTCCAAATGATAGCTACAACAAAAACAATTATATACAATTAGATAATTATTAACAAAGATGACATTCCTTGCTTCATCGAAGTCCTCTATACTTCGGTTCTTTCTGGTTCTCGAAGAGAAGATTTTTTCCAAAATCGATGACTTTGTATTACACAATATTTGATTTTCACGAATGATCTTGATGTACCGTGTTTAACGTTGAGGTAGGTTATAGGCTAAATCAATTGTGTGGTGCACACGTATGGTTCCTTCTAAAATGAGGAGCGTAGGTTACAAAGCAAGACTCTTGAAATGTACGCGTTCCTTGCTCATCATAGACATTCATTAGTTAGTCCTATACTAATTATGAGTTATAGAAATTAATATTTGGTCCATGAAGATTTTACACCAATTACGCCGCCATTGTATCCATGTTTGCCTGTATAACAGAATAAATGAACAGCATCTAACCATTAAAAACCCTGGGAACCGACGAATTGTACCACTACAGACCTCGATAACTACACATAAGAGGTTTTGCATTGACTTGTTACGAAGAAAAACATTAAAGTATATAAAGGATACGATTTCGACTCCTTTACAACATTTCAATGATTTTCTCGAAAGCTAAAAAGCTTTAATATATTAGTCAACATTTTTGATAATGCAGTGAACGATTTTGGGGGTGACATTTTAACGCGTGAGTCAAATCTCAAGATGTAAAAGTCACGAATGAAGAGTAGTGATCTATAGAACTTTCATATTAATTATAGGATTCAATATAAAAAAATAGAGCGTGAAGGGCCATCGATGAATAAGTAGTTTACAAATGTAACGGCGATTATTTATAAAAACAATTACTCTACAAGAAGATTTTTACTTTAGTGTATATTTATAACTAAAGTTAGGTTTAAGGATGACTGTGAGTTCTAAACTTCTGTCCTAAAGGAACTGCTAATGAGCCTTTCATGTATTTTACAAATGTAGACCTCACAATTCTGATATTTTCAATCAACAATTCTAGTCTTGGCTTCTCGCAGCTGAACGACTTGGTAGATTTTCTATGCAATCTTGAAAGAATCTGATTAAATACTTTCTTGTATTTGTAAATATTTTATCTCATGCAGTTACTGTTTTCATGAAAGAACAATAGAAATTATCGGAAAATGATGTCATTTTGGACAAAGTGATAGTTTCTTTGAAATGTTTGGATTTTTTCACCACAAAATTTACGATTAATTACTTCATTTTTTTCAGATAGTGAAGCGAGACCTAATCACTTTTGTTCGTTATCAATACATTCAAGAGTAGTTAAAAATCTGTTCATTCAAAGGCAGAAATGACTTCCTCACTAAAACCTAGATTGTTCTGAAAATCTCGAATGTTGTAAGTACTTAAATAAGTTTGGATTCGATTCAAAAAATTTTTATGTCATTGGTCAATAGCGTCTGATTGATTCTGATTAAAATCGAATTCGAATAGAGATAGTCACGAGCGTGGTTCTCTTGAAGCGCCATTGCTTCAACATGGTTCATCACCAAGAATTCGAGCACAACATCTGTTTAAACATTCAACTATTCCATTCTCGAATCCGAGATTTGCGAAAGCGAATCTGAGAGTGGACGCTGACATATATCACATACGAATAAAACTGAAGTTTTCTTGATGTTGACTATTTGGAGTACAGGGTAACGCTAGTAAATCGTTTTATAGCTGCAGTGATTAACTTGCGTTTGTAATAAAAATCAACATAGTAAATAATGTTTGTTGTTTAAATTGATATTTCAAATTTAATTATTTAGATTCAAGAAGAAATTGATTTGGATGTTGATGAAATGAAGCGTCATAATCATATAAATGAATCGTTTGCAACCGATCCTGAATTTGGAGTAAATAAAGTTTGGTTCTTTCTTTTTCTCTTCTAAGATAAATAATTTTAATTTATTTAGAGACAAAATATAAGAACAAAACGTGAACTAGGTCATCGGTAAGAAAATCATTTTAATAATAAAAAAAAGAAATAATTTTTATTAGATTTCTAAAATTTTGGTATATTTGTTAATCGAAGTTTACAATTGGATTGAATCAAATTTTATGATTTTGATATGGATTATACATTAGCATTGTATAAATCACCAAATTTGAAGAATTGACATTTCAACGAATTATTGAATCATTAATTGAATTTGGTTATTCTGAACAAACTCGAAGTTTTGTTTATGATCGAAAATTTCCTTTACAATAATAATTTTATTATATTTATTAATCATTTTCAAAAAAATTTCTGTTTTTTTTTCTCTCATTAATAGGGATCTTTGGTATGATAAATTATATGGAAATTCACTTAAAGTTGATGCACATGGAAATATTCTTACAGTTGTTTATGGTTTTAAATTTATTAATAAGTAAAGATTTTTCTTTTCATTGGTTTTCATCCTTATGATTTCATTCTAGACATGCAGTTCGAGAATTTTATCCGAATAAATATGTAATTAGTGATGATCGTATTTATGTTTATTATACACTTTTTAATCTATCAAGTAATATGAAAAAGAGAAAAAAGCGAGATTCATAAAAAATTGCATTTATCGTAATTCTGATGAGATTACATGTGACGTATAATAAAAATTTCTTACAGATGTAGGATCGGTTGGCGTCTTTTTTTGGAAGCGACTGAATTTAGTATAGTTTTAAAGAATCTCTTTGGGTTGAATCCACTGACACTAGATTATGTATCCGTCGTGCCACAAATCATGATAGAGAGCAAGATGTCTATGATGTTTTGTGGAGGAAGAGGTGTAAATTTCTCGCTATTATACTTCACTATTCATTTTCATTCATATTTTAAAAGGAAAAGGATTTTTTTTCTATTTAGAAATTTATCTTATTGCTTGTTTAATGGATTATTTTTCTATTGTGGCAACATATGTCGAGTACGTAAGATGAATGGATATTTGAAGATTTATTTGATTAATTTTTTTTTTATAGAGATCGAACAGCTATTGAATTTGGAGAAAATATTCTTTCATCTCGTGCAATTTTCAAAGATGTTCGAAAGTCATTTGACCGTGTTCATTATACAGTAAAGACTTTTTGTTTCTAATATGAAAAGAAAAACGAACTGGTTTTTTTTCCTTAAGAGTAAACTTAAAGAAATGGTTTGTGAAAATTTTGAAAAATATGTTCATAAGCATGAACAATTACCAATATTTTGAGATCGATAAATTTATTTATGAATTGAATAAATAAACAAGATGAAATCAATTTCTTTGTAGTACTCGTTCTCATGATGCAAAAACGTTTTTATTAATCGATAGTGAATATTGGTATACTGATAAATTAATGACATATTTATTAGCAACTGATAGTGATACTAATAATTCAAAACGTGACTGGAAATCACATTTTAATTATATTGTTGTTGATGCACAAAAACCATTATTTTTTGCTGAAGGTACAACATTAAGAAGAATTGATCAAAATACTGGAAGTATGAAATTGGGTTCTAATGCTGTGCAATTACAACAAAATGAAGTTTATAGTGGAGGTAACAAAAAAAAGAAAGCTCATGAAAATCTGATATATATGCTTCAACAGTTGTTAATCTCGTTTATTATCTAATTTTTTTTAGTTTTTTTTTGTGCTATTCCACAATTAGTATGTAATCTTATGAATCAACTGTTGATCCTGAAGAACCAATGCACTTTAATTCATGAGACGATGAAAAACTTCAATCAAATTCAACTGTTCGTCATCATTCAACATTATATCAAACATTTAAGAATACACGTTGTTTTGATCGTTCAATATCAGCATTTCCATCAATACACACTCATCCTGATTTACCATTATACATAATACATGATCATGATGAAGATGGTGATCCAGATGATGATAATCCATCAAAAGTTGGTCACGATTTAGACTTTGATGTTCGATCAAACATAACATATACATCACCAAAAAAGACATGCAGAATCAACAAATGATTAAAGAGACTTCCATTTAATTCATTCTTGTCTTTTTAGTTTAATCTATTTATAGAGTTGTTAGATTTTGTTGTTGATGTGTTGGGTGTGGGTAGAGAAAAAATACCTACATCTACACCCACACCCACACCCTCTTTTTTTATTTCTCTCAAAAGATGACTCAACAATCGAGGCCTTAGCTTCTTCTAACGACAGTGTGAAATTGGAAGAGAGAGTAAACAAAAATCTGTAACAAAAAAATTTTCTTGGCATTTTTAACGGACGAAACATAAAGAAATAAAAAAACAAATAATTGGAGTTAATGTTTGTTCGTGGCTCCTTGATAATGAAACAATGTATTGAAAGTTTGCTTTTGAAAAAGAACAAAAGGAATATTTCAATGCGACTTAGTAAGAAAATATTGACTGCATTCGTCGAATATCAATACAAGAAGTGTCTAGTGATTGTAACCGTTTGGAAAATAGTGTCAAATGTCGCCAATGAATGAAGAAAAACAACATTATTTATCAACTCGATTTTGTCAATTGGAGTTCTGAAATTTCGTTGTATAAAGTTGAAAATTCTTAAAAATAATCCGACAAAACACGACACAGTAATGAAACAATTAAATATTGTATTATTAATTTCCTTGATTGTCTTATTTCTACTTTATATTGATTTAACGAAGGACAAAACAAGTCTTAACATATTATAAACTATTGAGTAAAAGACAAAAAGATTGGAATTTTTGCTAAGAACATTTTAAGCCATCAGTACTCTAATAATGAATATTCGCTTCCTTGTCAATACATATGTATATTTTATTTATCTGACTTGAAACAGGTGGAAAATTAAATCATTTATAAATAAAAGAAAAAGAATGCCCAGGTCAACATGGACGATACGAAAACGGTAGTAAACCAATAAAATATGGTGACTATACAGAGTCCCGACGATTTTTGTAAACGGGAATCAGTTTACACTGTAAATACAGATACATTACGAGCCATTTTACAGCGCAACTTCCTTAGAACTGTATACGACCTGAAAACGAAAAGCGTTTACGCACCGTTTCGAGCCGTTTTTTTCTGACACTTTAAGTTCGTCGACCGATGTAACTCCGACAGCACATACACAAGAGCAAGATCAATTCATAGAAGCCTCAATAATTTTTCTTGACATTAAAAATAAAGATACTAATCAAAGCTCAAATAAAAATCCTATAGTGCATAGGCTTGTCCGTTTTAATTTAAATTCACGAAGATTTTACTTTAATTATTTATTGTATATTTCACTTTTTAAATTCTATATCCTTCAATAAAAATTCATTTTATATTACATTTTTTTAATTCGAAATTTATTTTAGATATACATTTCTGAAATTTTATTTCATTTCAGAATTTTTTACAATCAAAATTTATTTCGGATATCTTTAGTTTTTGTTCTCAGAATTTATTGACATTTTTTTGAACTAAAATTCACTATATATTTTATTTTTCTTGAACTAATTTTTTTCATTTAAATTTGCTAAAATTTAAAATCAAATTAATTCTTCATTTTATTTTTTCAATGAAAATTTATATTCTATTATATTTTCTTTTATTTAAAATTCATTGTAGGATTAAATTTTTGAAATTTGAATTTCATACTTTATTGTCTGAAATTCAAATATATTTAATATTTTCTATTCTTGAATTAAAACTCATTATATGTTTTATTTAAGTCTGCTGAAATTCAAATCCAAATTCATCTTACATTTTATTTATTAAATGTAAATTTATATGAAAAATTTACATTATATTATATATCTTTTATTTGAAATTTATATTTACTTTATGCTTTATGACTTTAAATTAAAATTCATTGTATATTTAATTTATTTTTAAATTGAATGTTCTTATGTAGATTTGCTAAAATTAAAATTCGCTTTATATTCCACTTTTAAAATCAACATTTATTTTATACTCCATTTTTTATTTCAATATTTATTGTCAATTTAAATATCCCGAACTTAATATCATTTCGATATTAAACTTTTTCAAAATCAAAATTTTTTTGAACTTAAATTTCACAAAATTTTAATTAATTAATTTTTTTATATTTACGTTTATGATAAATATAAAATTTCTAAAAGTTTATTTTCGAATGGATTAATTTTTTGGAGCTGTAAATGAGAACATGAACCCAAGGTTGCATTTAATAATAAAACCAATACTCGAAGAATCGTAATAAAACAGCCGTAAACGAGTACAATTACGTATATTAACGGTCGTTAACGTTGAAAATACAGTGGAATACACATGGCGGTATTTCACCCGTTAAGTTTTAGAAAACGGCCAAATACGGTCAGTTTACAATACAGTGCGAATTTCTGCGCTAGATAATGCGGTTCAATATGAATCGAAAACGGAACGTATTGAATCCGTATATCTCCGTAAATGCCCCGTTTTTGCAAAATTTTCGGTCCGTTATCAGATCGTAAACGACACCGTTTTGATCGACCTGGGTGGCTTATTTTCTGTTTTTAAGATCAATCAAACTATAAAATTATTGTAAAATTTCGAACAATGCAATGGTTATCATCAGAAAGGCTTTATTGTGTTAACATATTCTGCCTTGCCACTTTGTGTCTTGTTGTTTATCGGATTATTTTCATAACGCATTCTTTTAAAAAGCAAAAAAAAAGAATTTATTTCGTTTTTTTTTGTTGTGTCACAACGCATACTATCCTAACATGTGACGATGCTTAATTCTTTCTTCTATTTTATCTTTTTTTTATTTTTCTTCTTTGTGTGATTTCAAGATTATTTGACATATATAGATTTCTTTCGATCAATAACATTGAATGGAAGTAAGAATGAAAAACAAAATATTGACTGTTTTAGACATAAGAATGAATGGATGATAAACGACTCTTTGATCACTTTGCACTTATTGATGTAGAAAATACAGGTTCTATTGAACGTGATGAATTACTTCCGACAACATCATCACCAATAGCAGATACATTTATACAATTATCATCGAAAACACATGATATAACACCAAAACATCAACAACTTATTGTTGATTTAGTTATTATTTACCGTACCCATGGTGAAAATCCACCAGTTGCTTATGAAGCTATATGGGCAACTCCAAATCATTTCTCAGCTAATCTAAATCATAGTGGACTACACAATCATGAAATGTATTTATGTATTAGACGTGGACGTGATAAACCACCAATAACAGATATTGATGTTTTGTTGGAGGCAAGAGAAGAAACCATGGATAATTTTTCAGTTATTGAAACAACACCACATGGATATCCAGCAAGTATATGTAACTCATTCTTTAGCAAAGAACGTACATTAATTACATATCGACGAGCAGCCTTAACGATTTTATGCAATACATTAACTGTGACAGATGTTTGTGTTATTATTGAGAGCAAAGTATGAAAACAAGTTAGACTTAACTATATGTAAAGATTTTTTAATTCCAAAGTTTTCTCTAATAGTAGTTTATTAAATGGCTAAACATTTACAGATTTTGCATTCTAATCTCAGAGTATTTTTATTTGATGTATGATAAAATCTGTTTTTTTTCCAGTATAATTAAAGAATTTTTTCTTTAAGAAATCTCATAAGTAATTTGATATGTCAACATTTCTTGTGTTTTCTCATGAAATATTATTTGACATAAGACTGAAAATTATTTTCAAAAAGACTTCTATTTTTTTTTTCTTCTTTTAGGGCAAAACTTCTCCACATTCATTTATTAAAATAAATAAAAATTTAAATCATTCAATGTTTAATCCAAAAATATATTTTTGTTATAAAAAATCTGTTATGAATTCAATACGAATTCAATATCGTCCACGTATTTTTTATACGTTTCCAACAATCGATGATAATCAATATGTTATATTTCTGGATAAAACTTCTCTTTTCTGTTTTCCAATGGGTGCATTTATTGAACGATGACCATTAGATGTAACTCTACAAAGTATTGCACCAAAATTTTCAACCTTTCTATTATCAAATGCAAAACAATATGGCGTTTGCTTATCGTTCTATGAAATATCTAATGTAAAAGATTGTTTACCATTCATAAACAATGATTTAATTGATCGTTTAGAAATTGAAAATGATTGTCTATATGTATTGTTATGTGTTCACGTTATCCTTTTTTTCATATATTTCAACAATTTTTATCTATAATATGTATGAACATATTGTATTATCAGAGAAGACAACATCGAATAATAATCAATTGATTGAACAGTATTTAAAGCAATTCTTTTATCATGTACCATTTCTATTATCATCCAAACCGAGAATATTGGTACAATATGATGAACCATGTCTGTCGATTTTTTAAAAAATTTAGGAACATATAATATATTAACTTTATTTTTATTCGCTTGATTGGAATCAAAATTGCTCATACATTCATTAAGATCATCCGTATTGACAAGCGTTGTTGAGGCAGTGAATAGTGTAACAATATTTTTAACTTTTATTTTCAAGAAAAAAACAGCAATACATTTTCTTTTTTAGATGCTTTTTCCATTCCAGTGACAATGTCTATACATACCATTATGTCCTGTAACATTAAGTGATGTACTTAAAGCATCATGCCCATTTATTATCGGTAAGAAAATTAAAATATGTATTAATTGCTGCACTAAATATTCTTTATAGGAATTGTTTCACGTTATTTTGATATATGTGAACCATCTGCTGATGTTATATGTGTCGATCTTGACTCAGATATAATTACTGGCGGGTAAGATTCTAACTACTAATATTATGTCGTTGATTATCAAAGAAATAAAAATAATTGTTTTGATCGTACTACAAAGCAGTGAAAGAATTCTGAACAAAATATTTATTTTCTTCCATTGTTGAATAAAAATAAGAGAGTTCAGTAAATATCTCTAATACAATTGAAATGTAAAAGATTTATGTACACACGAATCACATCATGAAACTATGACAAAAGGAAGTGTGAATGCGTGTTAATCAGTAATAGCAGTACAAATTCTGTTCTTAGACCGAGTACTAGTTACAGTTCTTGAATGATGTTTCGAGAAATATTTTTTATCAGTAGATGGAGTTTGATTAAAGAGATATTTAATAGTATCAGGAAAGAATTGACAGAATTAGACATGTGCAAAATCAAGACTTTACTTTACTTTTTTGAAATTTGCTCTAGTCAGAAGAAAACTATTTCCAAAAGTGATCGTATCACATCTAAAATAATTCTTCACTGCTTATTGTTGTAATCTATTCAGTCGAAGATTATGACTCTTTTGAGTAATCTCTCTTGGATTGCTTTCGAATTCATATAATATATAAGTTAATTCTGTTAAAACTAAACAAATATTTTACTTTAAAATTATATTCTAGTTCTGACTAATATTTTTCTCGTTGTTTCCGTCGTTGAACCTAATAGAATTTATTTATTTGTTATATACTAATAAAATAATCATCAATTGAATCGTATCTCATTTTTGTTTAAATCATGAGTAGTATTTCAGAAATATTTTTATATGATGAATAATTTTTGTTTTCTTTTTATTTTAGAACTAAAGAGCAAAAACATTGGTCTGTAAAAATATTTCCAAAAAAAGCTAGTAAATATCTTTTTTTTTCCTTAACTTCTATTAAACCTAACGACTTTTCATAGTTTGAATTATTAAAGCAATCGTTAGATGAAATCAAATTCCAAGTACTCAATACATATCAACAACGTTTATATGAACTTCCTACACATTTGAAACGTAATCATAACGATTCTGAATTGCATCTGCAAATAGTTCAACTTGAACGTAATATGGAAACACGTATACGTGATATATTTCTTCGTTTTATGTGTACATGTTTTTATGGTTATAAACGATTTTTACGCCAAATCTTACGTCAACCGAATCAATTATCAACAGATGTATCGGTTTTATTTGAATTCCATGATTTTTTTACACTCACGAGATTCATCTTATTCAAAATTTTATTCATATATTTTACGTACACAAATGTTTAGTCGTTTTATAGAAGAACGTTCATTTTTATCATCAAGTACATTAAATCAATCAGTATTAATCAAAGATAGTCTTCACTATACGTATAGTTTGGCTTGTTTTGATGAATGTTATACTAAAGTTAAAGCAAATATTGAATATAATGAACAACAAACAGTTTATTTATTTTGATATATATGCCACAAAAACAAATGTTTTAAGTGAAAACCAATATCAATAGTACCAGAATTTCTTGATTCAAATCATACACCAACAAAAGGCTACAATGATTCAGTCGAATCAACAAAATAAAAAAATGAATTCTGAAAATAGAATACATAATCAACAAAAACATGAAACCTCTAATTTAAAATCATTTCAAAAACAAACACAAATATTATCTATGAAACTTATATCAAATTGTTCAATCGTTAAGCGATCGAAACTTGAAAGAGATAAATGCTAAAAGGTAATATTTAAGAAGACAGAGTTTACAGAACCTCATTGAATTCTATCACACTTTGTACAATAATGATCATGTATTCTAGTGGAGAATTTGATTCATATTAAATATTACGAAAGGATGAATTCAGGATTTAAATATACAATCCATCAAATCCAAGAATTTTTGAAATCGGATAGTAGTTGAGAGTATAGTATAAAGCCTCACATGAAACATAAATTAAAATATTAGAAAAAAGATAAATTTTTGACATACAGCTTCAAACAACTGTTTAGCAGCTTTTGACTTAAATTGGATTGAAATAGTATCTTCAGAAGTTCCTGAATGTATGGGAGCTGTTACTTCAAGAAATTGCATACCATCGAAATCCATATGACCAGGACAATTATATATGTAATAACACGAAAGCTCAAATTTCTTTTTGGTGGGAATAGAAACTTGTTGCTATCCCTACTTTTCTATACAGTTAGCAATTGTTTCTTCTCGCTACTATCGCGCACTGTCTTTGAATGAACATTATGCCACAATAATATAGTCAGAGAAACATTAATGACAATTAGATGAGTACATAAATTATAATTATTTACAAGAATTGCTCCTTTTTAAAAACGATCGTCTTACTCCTAAAGGTAACTATAAACAAATCATTAGCACAATAGGATAGCGTATGCTGATATAAATTTTTGCCCTGTTAAATTAGTCTCAAGAGGTTCAACTATTGATGTATCCCAACAGAGTCGAGTTGTCTACAATCATCTTACACATCTTTACTGTTTACACTATTCATCTGATTTCAATGAAAATATATAAACCAGTAGCTTTATATTTTTAAAAACAGATTACCCGTCAAAATGAAACTAAACCTACTCAATGGGCATATTGTTTATTATCCAATGTCCATTCTCTATGGTTTATGCATTTGCCTACTATGATTGAATGTTATATAAGTCCACGACATATTTTAAATTATGCTTATAAAATTCTTGTTCAAATGAATCGATAACATTTAATAGATCTAGATGAAGCGAAAGAAATAGAACAATTCAATAAAACTATTTCATAAAATGTTTTCTCTTCGTTCTATTTTTAGATTTGTTTTCGTGACATTATTCAATTATGTGGTATCTATGATGATCCCCTACTGGCAGTTAAAATTTACTCATTCATGAAGAAAAATGGTACAGAATGCAATGCTATTACATATGGTGCTTATAGTAGAGTTAGTTAATCTATTCCAGTATGCCGATTTAGTCATACTTCATTTTTGTATTCATATTTAGGCTGTTTATGAAGGCACATGGTCCATACACGTGATCATTGAACAACATTACGTTCCGTTGTTCAAGCTGTGTGGGCGTTTAAAACTGCTCATCATTATCAACAAAATCAACATAATCGACGGTCATTGACATCATCCTTCGACGATGATGACAGTGATGGTGCCATGAATACCAATTCTAATACTATATTTTCAACAACTTCCAATCATCCTTCGAAAGCACTTGGTTCAATCGATAATCTCAAAAGTTTATTTTAACAATTATCATTTGACAAAAAAAATGAAGAAATATTTTTCTAGATAATCGTGAAAATAAACTTAACCAAGATGATATGTTATCAAGTATCTTTTCAACATTAGCTGGATCAATCAAAGATATAACAGAGAGTTCATTTTTTCCAAGAATGCTTTTGAAAAAATCACCATCAAGTAATAATACAATCAAGAGCAATTTATTTACTAAAGTTTCATTTGTTTTACTTTTAGTGGATGGGCTAACAGATAATAAAATAGTTCCTACAACGAATTCAAACAATAATAATATTAATAATATTGCTGTTCTTGAAACAGCAAAAAAACGTTCGCTATCAAATACATATGATATTCATTCAAAACTTGACTACAGTACACTTCAATCAATTACTCATGAAACAGGTTTGCTAAGTTTTCTTCTCCTCACACATATTTCCAACTGTGGGTCAATCGAATGGTCTGATTTCTTGAATAATGGTAGAACTTTATTCAAAAGAAAATTTTTTTTTCGTACAAATCATGCAAATACATACTTCTATTAAGTATTATTGTTGATTTCACAAAAGAAATTCTTCGTCTATTATCCATTGATAAAAATATCAGTGAAACGTTCCATAGACAACTTTTAGTTGCTACCTTAGAAAATAGCAAGAAGAAATAAAAAAAACGTCTTATGAATGATAGAAAATTGATACAAACATGCCAAATTTCTAGAATTACTCAGTTTAAATGCCGAAATTCGTGTCCTAAAATTAATATGAACAATGAAAGTTTTTTAAGAAGCAGATCACCAACTTTTTCGAAAAGAAAAAACAAACTTCTATACATGTAAATTCGAAATATTACAATCATCGATTCTTTATCAGAGTACTTGTAGAAATTTGGGATGTCCGCATCGATTTTCTATCATTCCTAAGACTTTTTTGAAATTTCTTCTTGCTGTTTACTAAGGTGACAATTAAAAATTGTCTACAAAATGTTTCATTGAGATTTTTTTTCAATGTATAACATCTCGATATAATATATCAACTAATGGTTTATTGCATTTTTTTCGAGAATAAGTTAACAGAATGGCGTCTTTCAAACTCTAATTCGAACAGAATTCTCTCTAATCATTTTGTTTTTATTTAGCTCGATCTGATGCTGGTATATTAATGACTACAATTGACATTAAAATAGTTGATATCGGTATGCTCTCATATCGTTTACGAATAGCTCCAAGATCTTCTCAAATGCATAATACACAACAGTCAGCACGTCGTTCAATTTTATATCCTCATAATCAAACGCAATTAAATTCACCAATTAAATAGGAATTAACATCAAGAACGCAAAATTTATCCTATGATCCACTTGGCTTACTTAATCCAATTCCAACTACTGCTACACGTCCATTAATTATGAATCAAACACCTGCTGTGATGAAAAAAACTTTTGCTAATGTAATATCATCTTCATCTGAAACATAATCAATCATAAATTCTATTTCAAAAGAAGGAAAAGAAGAAGGAATTTCATCTCTATCATATATTTCAACACTACTAACACGACTACGTGCTAAATTTAATCAAAGTAATTTTTCAGCATTGTATAATTCAAAAAATCTTACTACAATCAAATCATTTGCATTGGATTTTTTTACTGATCTTAAATCTTCAGTCAAATCTACAATCAATTCATTAACACAATCAAAGAGTCCACATATAATTAATAATCCAATAATCAATAAAGAACAAACATTATCAAGAAATAATAGTAATAGTAAATTACATGATAGTATATCATCATTTATATCACACCAAAGTTCAAATAGTTCTTCATCATTAAATACAAATAATATCAATGAAGTGGATATTAAAGATTTTTGTTTAGACTTTTCAAATGTTGCAATACCAATTAGTTATAATCATGATAGGAATTCTCATTTCCCAAGTCGTATTATTGAAATTAGTAGTTGCAGTCGATGTTTATCATGTAATCAATTTTTGTACGACCAAGAAATCATGAATGGCTGGTCAGCAGATGATTCTGAATTACATACAATATGTGTTCATTGTAGAATGAAAACAATACCAACATTAGCTATGAATATAAGAATAAAACAAATTCAGTTGATTACTTAAAGAATTTATTTGATTTACCTTTTGATTTCATTCAGGATAATACAGTCATGAATCCTAATAGAAATTCTATGTAAATTTAAATGAAAACAATTTTTAAAAATTCTATTTTGTTTCTATAGAAAAGATGATTCGACAGTGACAACATCAACGAATAATATTACACAACAAATAATGATTGAAAAAAAATGAAAGAATCATTGTAAGATTTAGTTTCTTTCTGTAAATGTTCAGAAATTCTAGAAAAAATTTTTGATAGAATCAAAAGTGACTTTATTCCTATAAATTGTTAAGGCCTTTTAACTAAATACTTACTTTTCGAAACATATATGCAAGTGAGCAGATAAATTATAAAAGCATTTATTTTATGTTCAAATAGGATACATTTTAGTTTTTATTTTTGATTTACAAAATAAGTTCTCGAAGTGATGAGAGTGAACTTTTATCATAAGAAAGAGTTCGTTGAAAGCGAATTAATTCTGTCACGATAAGTCCTTTGATTGCGTTCTTCTTCTTATATCATGACAATTTAAGTTGACCTCATTTCAGTTTAATAGATGATAAAGTATTACCAAACAAACTTGATCATTTTTAAATTTACCAGATATCTTTTAAATGATTAATTTCATTGTGGATATTTTATTTAACTAGTTGCGTTCAATCATCGTCATCATCTATAACGGTACACTATTTAAGCCCATTGGTTCTTCGCAAAGAATTTGAAAATATAATTAACATGTTCGATCAAAATAATCATGATTTATATAAAATTCATTTTAAAGAAAAACATCCAATATTATTCTGGAATTTGGTAAAATTTTAATTAAAAACTATTTATTTGATTGAGTTATAATAATTGTTTATTTAGATTTGGTTTTTTCAACGTATTCATATATCGAGTTATTTATTTCAACTACTTTTGCGTTCATTATTGAATTCACTAGAAAATGAAGCTAAACAAGATTTTAAAAAGAATAAATGTATTTTGGGATGAGAACTTATTGATGATAGGACTTCGATTCGTATATGTTGTATGTGGGATAGTATAATAAATCGTAGTAATATTGCTGAACCAATGTATAAAACATGGGAATATGATGGTTATGGTAAAAGAAAAAATGAATTTTTTTATTTAAGTATAAATCAACGTTCTTATTGAATTCTAGAATGATGTCATACATCCGTTGGCAATACTCTAATTACATATGAACATAGTACCGTCCCCGAAAAGTGAGATTTATTTACTGTTAGTGATTTATTTGATGTGATTTGTCTCATATACATGTAGGATTTACATATCCAGAGTACAAGAAATTGATTTCTTCCTTGATTTTTATTTTATTAATCGAGGAAAACAAGATAAATCATTCATGGATCTATATTTTCTTTTGCTTAATCGTAGAGTCATACGATCAATTGTTAGTTGTATTGAACAAGAAGATCTGTACCATCCCATTCAATTATATATCAAAAAATCATCTAAATCAATACGTACACGTATTCGTCGACGCTCAATGTGTAGAGAAATTTTATTTTTAGCTATTGTTGTACTTGGACGTGATAAATTGTCTTATGGTAAGTTTTTATTGCGAAACTTATTAGTTTAAACAATGAGACAAAATTATATTCAAATTATACAGTAAATCTCGAAACAGCTGAAGATATAGTCTTGGTATTACTTAATATAATTCTTTTGATTAATATTTTGCTCTAAATAAGTCTCACATGTTTTCTTCAAGAACTTTTCTTTTTTTTTTTGAAGCACAACAGTTGAAAGTACAGCTTGTGAGGAAAACTATTGTTCTTGAAATTACGAAGTATTTTATTATAAGATGAAACAGAGTAGAATCCTAGAAACTACTACTATCTGTGAATGTGTAGTCTCGATGAAAATAATGAAATATCAACAGTAAGTCTACTGATACAATGGATTATTGTTCACTTGCCAGCTTGAGTTTTTGTTGAATAGTTTACTAAAAGTAAACATTGTATTTCGTATCTGTGTTTTGGCATTTCGGATCGATGATCATTTTGACTAAATTTTCCATCTTCTCTAAGCTGAACAGTCAAACATCGTTGAACATTAGTTTAATTTGAAACTTTGCCAATACGCAAGTCTTAATCAAATCTCCAATTTATTCACGAAATATTTTATGATTTAGAAAACTTTATGTTTTGTTGTCGAAAGTCAAAACATTCACTTTTTTTATAATTGAATATGTCAACAAGAAATCACAAGTTTCGAGGAAAGCTTTTACAACACTTATATACAAAAACTTAATAGGAGCCTGTACCTTAAGAAAAACATAACCAAGTCATTTGTATCAGATCGACAGTTCAATGAAATGTTCATAGATTGTAAAAAAAAAATCCGTGAATACGAATTAAATTACGACTACTACTAGTCTTAACAAGTACTAAATGATGACAAACTATGATCTCAATAGACATTCGATAATTTTAAACCTTCTTTCAGAAATTTTTGTTTCAACTATGATTTAATTCTACTACTCAATGATCACCCAACCTGACCAGACAAAATTTTTCAAAAACGCGTTTTAATGCATAAATAAATGCGGAAATCTCGGATTTAAATCCGAGTGTTATGTGTACTTCAAAAAGTGAAAAAGCGATTTCTTAATTCAAAAAAAACTTTATTCAGAGTTTTCAAAATCTAAGTTTACATTCGTCGACCCCGATTTACTTTTGCCAACCTTTATAAAATATCGCTATTTTCGGAAAAAACTCTGTCCTTGGCCCAAATGCTTGAGCTCAAATCTTAAATAACGTATATACCATTTTATCGCTCGTGAAATTCTCTGTCGAATGGTATATAGTAGTTGGGCTTTTATTTTGACTATGATAGGAAAAGTTTTTTATGAAATGGGGTAGTATAGGTCGATTTTTGCATAAAAGACCAGAGAAAAATATCAGTATTTTTGCAATAACTCAGGAAGAGCTTCTCCGATCAGGCTCATCTTGTTCTCTCGACCGAGACATTGATGAGACTAAACTGTGTAGAAAATTTCATCGCGATTAGACTCTCCTTTCGAAAGTTATCGTGTTAACAGCCGGACGGACATACTGTCCGATTCTAGAGTGTATGAACTTTTTGAGTACACAAGAAAAAAGAAAAATCTAACAGCTAATGAATCATGCTACTTATTTCTTAATAAAATAACGAATTTAATGCATTTTATCGCATTTAATATATAGGTCAAACTTTGTAAAAATGGAAAATCTAAAAAAGTATGTCATCATCAACAACTTCTATGAATATGTAGATCGGTTTGTCTACGTAGCGCTAGCGACAGAGTATCACAGCGTTACATTTTTGCTCATTTTATTTTGGCCATAATTCTGAAAGAAAAAGTCGTATAGATTTGAGCAACGTCCTAAATTGAAGAGAAATTTGTTCTGAAGATTTTGAGATTTGCCCGAGCTTATAAAAGTATTTCCTCAAAAATCTATCACTGAAATACTGATACCCACTTTTTCGCAGGATTTCGCAAAAATAGGTGTTGCTATTTCAGTGATAGATTTTTTAGGAAGTATTTTTATAAGCTTGAACAAATCTCAAAATCCTCAAAACGAATTTTTCTTCAATTTAAGACGTCGCTCAACTCTATACAACTGTTTCTTTCAGAGTTATGGTCAAAACAAAATGAGCAAAAACATAACGCTGTGACAGAATTACGTGAACAAGCCGAGATATAAGTACTACATTATCTTAATTTATTTTCTATTTTTATGATCAATAAGCTTTAGTGAATTTTGAGGGTGTGGGTGTGGAGGTGTGGGTGGATGTGTGGATGGAGGTGTGCGTGCGTGTAAGTATTAGGGTGGGGTTGGTGGTGTGGGCGTGAGAAGAGAGCAACACCCACATCCATACACCCACGCACACCTACACCCACCCACACCCACACCTATGCACACCCAGACCCATACCCACACCTCCATACCTACACCCACGTACATCCACACCCTTCTCTCTCGCTCTCTATTTCCATCTCGTTTTTCACGAAAAATTCATTGCCTTTTTTCCAAAGCAACGAAAAGTGCTGGAGAATTTAACAGTATGCTGTTTTATTCTAAAAGAGCAGAGAAAGTTAGTTGAGAGTAAATTATTGAAAATTAAAATTCTACTTAAAACAAAAATGTCACTCGGTATGATGAGACAGGCGTCCATGTGAATCGGATGGTCGTCATCAATTGATCAATAAGCGCCGGTATGTACGACCAGCCGATCCCGGCCCTGGCTAGCAGAGGATTGCGCTCAGTGTCGCCGGGGTATCGATGATTACCGTGCTGCCGCGTATGCCGGACCACATCCCGGTGATGGTTTGCGGCTCATTTCCCAGCGGCACCTTGAGAACCAGCGTCGTCGGAATTCGTCCGGTGGCCAGCGGTACCTGTTCGTTGTAGGTGAATGCGGCAACCACAGGCGAAACGACGCCGTCTACCGAAATACCAAAATACCCTCCCGGAAAGTCCCTGCCCGTCGCGTAGGGCAGCGGTGCATTCAGGATGACGAGTGCCGCAGTACTGTTGCCCCCTTGGGTCGTGATGCTGAGGCCGGGAATTGGTACGAACGTGCCGGAGTTTGTCGTGTGTGTGCCATTCGTCTGCGCGTATAAGGCCATGATCTCTCTCCCGTTGTTTGATCTATAAAATCAATAAAAGTTTGAATGAGACAATATTGAGGGTATGGCTGAGATGTGAGTGTGGTGTGTGGGAGCGGGTGTGGGCGCGGGTGTGGTGGGTGTGTGGGGTGTAGGCGTGAATGTGAGTGTAGCTATTGATGAAAATGAAAGATCTACACCCACATCCACCCACATTTTTTAAGGTAAATGGAGAATGACCAACTAGTGCTTTAATGTATTCAAATAATGGAGCAACTAGCTATGAGTGGCATTGCGGAGTGACGGCGACGAATGACTAGTCGCTGATATTGCAAGCGCACTTTGGATTTACTTCGTAAAAGATCTATGTGGAACCTAGGT